TGCTCTTAACTGCTGAGCCATCTCTCCAGCCCTGACTTTTTAAAGATTTTATTTATTTTTATTTTACGTGTATGTGTGTATTGCCTGCATGTAGGTAAGTGCACCTGTGTCGTGCAGTGCTCACGGAGGTCATATGAGGCTGTTGGATCCCTGGGACTGGAGTTATGGACAGTTGTTAGCTGCCATATGGGTGTGGGGATTCAAACCTGGGTCTTCTGCAAGAACAACCAGTGTTCTTGACTGCTGAGCCATCTCTCCAACCCCTGGCCCTGATTTTTTTTTAAGTTTTATTTATTTTATATGTATAAGTGTTTTGCCTGCATGTATATAGGCACACCCATGTTGTACAGTATCCATAGAGACCATAAAAGGGCATTAGATCTCCTGGAACTGGAGTTATAGATACATTTGGGTGCTGGTATCTGAACCCAGGTCTTCTGCAGGTGCAGTCAGTGTTGTGAACCACTGAGGCATCTCTCCAACCCCAGGAAGTCTTTCTTATTAACTGCATACCTAAAGTGAAGTTATCTTTTCCCATGTCTGTGCTCTTCTTGCTTTCCCCTTTTAACTAGTCCAGATTCCCATCCCACAGAATAGTAACACCTGATTTAGGAGAGGTCTTTCCACTTTAATTATCTTAATGTATATAATCTCTAACAGACATGACCAATGATTTGTTTCTGTGGTGATTCTAAATCCTATTAAGTTGCCAATCAGAACGGTCACAACCCCACCCTTTGTCAACTTGATCCCCAAACAAATAATTTTTAAGACATAACAATCCAACTCTTGTTCCCATAAGTTCATGGCCTTCTCATAAAACAAAATATATTCATTCTACATTTAAGTCCCCATAAATTAATAATAGTGCACACCTTAAAAGTTCAAAGTCCAAGTATCATCTGAAACTCAAGGCAATCTCTTAATTGTGAGTTACTCTAAAAAAAAGTTATGTATTTCTAATGTACAATGGCACAGCAAAACACTTCCATTCCAAAGAGGAAACATGGGGGCATAGCAAGGAATGATTGGCCCAAACTTTGATGGAAATCTAGCAGGGCAAACAGTAGTTTAGGAAGCTCTGTGTCTGGCACCGCCAGAGTGCTTAGGGAGCTTCACCCCTCCAGCACTGCCACCTGTAGAACACATAGCCTTTCTCTTGGGCCAGCTCCACTCCATGCCTGTAGCTTTCCTGAGTGGGCATCCAATGGTTCTATCATCTCCAACATCTTGAGGTCTCCATTTCAACTTAGGCTTCATTTTCATGCCGCAGCTTCTCAGCATCTCTTTGCAAGGACTCTGACCCTGCCGCACATTGACTGGCTTCAGCAGTCTTAAAGAAACTTGGAACGAGATTCCATAACCTTTCAATCTAACATCTTTCATGTTTACAAAACAGGTACCACATTGCCAGTGCTGCCAAGTTCTACTGCTAGCTTGGGATGGACCCTGGCCCCTTTGGACCACATTTACATTGTTGGTCTTTGTGTTCTGACCCTGGGGAGACAATTTCCTAGGTGGTTGTTTATAAGCAGGGACCCCCTTCAGCAGTGTTCTCAGTTTAGGTTCTCTATTTTCAAATGAATTTGCAGTTGACAAGATGGAGCCTTTCTGTGTGGAACATTACTCTCTTGACGCCTTTCCTGTTAACCCTCTGCAGAGCCCCAGATTTCTCCTCAGTGTCACTGATCTCTCTAACAATTACAGAGGTTTTCCATCTACCCTCTGTTTTTCAAAATCCTTAAGCTTCATGATTTTTGGCTCTACGTTTTGATTTCTTGTACTGTAGACCAGGATAAAAGCAGTGGGCAGTAACCATGAACAGAGCGTGAATGCTGTCCTCTCTTGAAATCTCCTTCACCGTTACCTTTAATGTCAGCCTCAGTTGAGTTTTCAGGACATGGCAGAGTACAGTCAGATTCTTGGCCAGAATATCACAAGTGGTCTCTAGCTCAGTTCCAGGATAGAGCCCTTGTTCTTCTTAACAACTTCATGAGCCAGGTGTCCACTCTCCACATGCCTTTGACAACCTTCTCTTCTGAGCTCCCACCAGAATAACCCATTGAGCTCTGCTTACAGTACTCCCGAGATTTTTCTAGCCCAAAGTACAAACTTTCTCATATTTCTCCCACAAAGCAGTCACAAAGGCCTCAGAACAACTTGTCAGGTATACCATACACAGAACAGCCTGATTCCTCAATACCAATTTTCTGCCTTAGTTGCTTTTCTTATTGTGGTAAAATATCTTGACAATAGCAACTTAAAAAAGAAAGGGAGGGCTTTTTCCATTTGCAGTGTATCCTTGGCACATTTTCTCAAGAATCATCTGAAGCAAGTAGCAGTTTCAAAACATTGGATGCTGCATAAATTGACCAGTCTGTTCCTTGTCTATCCACTGGTCCCCACAAGCTGAGAGAATGTCTGCCTCTCCTCATTTTCCTAAGGAACAAACTTGAGTATTCCTTGACCAGAGATGAAGTAAAGAAGATATGCATGCAGGCTTCATTAAGATTGATGTCAAAATCAGCACTGATAGAACTTACCTTGCTGGGTTGATTGACTTTATTATCATTGACAAGACTGGAGAGAATTTCCATCTGACCTGTGACATCGAAGATCACTTTGCTGTTCTTCATATTATGCCTAACGAGGACAAATACAAGCTGTGCAAAGTAAGAAAGATCTTTGTGGGCACAAAGGGAATCCCTCAACAAGTCACCCATGATGCTTATAGCATTCTCTTCCCTGATCAAGGAGAATGATACATTTCAGGTCAGTTTGGAGATTGGCAATATCACTGGCTTCATCAGGTTTGACACTAATAACCTATGGATGGTGACTAGAGAGAGGCTAGAGGTCCTAAGTTAAGAAGAATTGGTGTAATCACCCACACAGAGACATCCTGGCTGTTGTTTGGCTCATGTGATAGATGAAGTTAGCAGCAACTTTGCCACTCAGCTTTCCAACATTTTCATTATTGACAAAGGCAACAAACCATGGATTTCTCTTCCCCAAGGAAAAGGAATTCACCTCAGCATTGCTGAAGAGAGAAGCAAGAGACTGGTGGCCAAACGGAGCAGTGGGTGAAATGGCCTCTAAGAGACATGCTGGACAAACGGTTGTATTCTTGCAACAAACCTTTCTAGGTGACATGCTGGAGGTGCAGTTAAACAACATGATGATGTTTAAGAAAGAAGAAAGCATTTATTTTGGCTCACAGTTTAAAGGTACAGTATACCATGGCAGGAAAAACATGGTGGCAAGAGCAGGAAACAGATGGTCGTATTGCATGCTCAGTCAGCAAATAGTGAGGAATGCTTATGCTCACCTCATTTTCTCCTTTTACGCAATCCAGAACCCCAGCCCATGGAATGGAACTGCCCACATTTAAGGTAGGTGTTCTTTGTTTATCTAATCTAGGTACTCTCTCCCAGATATCCAGAGATTTGTTTCCATGGTAATTCTAACTCCCATCAGTTTGACAGCCATGATTTCCCACCACAATAATCAGTTATGTTTACATTAATTTTTTAGTATAGTGGCACATAACAATCTACCATTTTCCCCTTAAAGAAGAAATTGTCTCAAGGAAATATTGCATCATCTTTTACTAGCTGTTTGAAATACTGGCATTATTATTCACAAATTATTTCTTATAGGCAGGAATGTGTTTTAGATTCTCTCATGTTCTATTCGTTTAGTTCTGAGTCAAAGCAACATAATTTCTGCCACCTCTTTGAAATTATTGTTATTTTTTGCATTTTCTTACATCAGAATATCCAAGATGCTTTTGGAAGGAATATATTTAGAATTCTTCCTTCCTTTGGG